GCAGCACAATGCTCTATGTCCCACTCCCCTTGTCACCATTGAGCTTCTCTGGCTTTATATATATACTAATTATATATTTGAGTAAATTCCCTTGCTTTATCAGCCCATGGGGCAGTCACTACGGCTATTGGGGGAGAGAAAAATATAACTATTATACACTTACATTTCGCAGGGGACAGGACCTGCTGCTGTGCTCTCCCTATGTCAATTGCATGCTTCTACTTATGAGCAGGTAGCACTGCTGCCAGAATGCGAATTACATGACATTCCTTCTTAAAATAGACTAAGCATGTGCAAAACCTGCTGAAACAGGGCAGATTTCAAACCAGCCCCATTGTTTTGACATAAGGAAAAACAAAGAATAAGGCTGCGCCAAGAGAGTAAAAGAAACAAGTCCAAATTAGAAAAATGTTCTAATAAGAAAGTCCCAGTAATGGATGGTGTCTTAACTGGTATGGCGTCTTCTTTAACAATGGTCGTCCGTCTCACGATATGGAAGACAGAATGAGAAAAAGCCAATTGTGCAGAGTGTATAAATTAGTAATTGTAAAATAAAATATAAATTACACACTCACGTTTCCATGAGCTAGAACCAGCTCTGGTATGATAGGCACACGGCGGATAACCCTCCGCTTATGGGGGTGCTTGTCCTCTTGAAGAGTCCTGGTGTTCAATTCTCAAGGAAAGAAAATAAAAACAGCCAATAGTGCTCTCTGGTGAGGTAGTTGTTAAAAAGAATAAAAATAAATAAAATATACTCACAAATAGAGTGCAGGTCAATCTGCACTCAATTATTCGCGTGGGTGGTATGATCCCCACCTCAGGATATGCCAGGAACAATATGTAAAGTTGGAAATAGTAATAAGAATAGATAATAGATAATATAAAATTATTTATTGATACAATATTTAAAACCAATAACGCGTTTCGCCAAAAGGCTTTATCAAATTGGAATAGTTGGAGTACCTGGCACATGAGGAGTATTTATAGCTAATACAAACATTTGAAATTGGCGCCAAAAAATGAACAACCAATCAGGGTAATACAAAATATAAATAGAAAATATACATTCAAAAAATAAAAAATAATATACAGTATTGATATATATGGACATAAGATGTTGTATATATAAAAATAATATAAAAACGAGCATTTTTTAATAAGAACGAGCGTTATTTAATATAAAAAAAGGTGTAGAATAAGTGCTTCCGCGTACGTGCGTGTCACGTGACCCGCACTGCACTGTGGGATCTGTAGTGCCGGGTCACGTGACCGCTAATGTGTATTCAGTCCGTGCGGCCAGAGCTAGGAGGAACGGCACGCACGGACACAGAGACAGCAGGGCGGGTTCAGGCTCTGTCACGTGACCCGCGGCGTCATATTACAGCGGGCCACGTGACTAGAGCCGATAGTAATGCTGGGAAATGTAGTTATAAACCGGAAACACCATTGAAAAAGGGGGATAGATAGCATACATGCTATTATTAAAAATGTATATGGTTAGAACATTAGAATAAATAAATAAAATAAATGTGGGATCAATATTTAGTGGTATATCTAGTTGGTACAGGATAAATTACCTAGTTAATACAATTTTAAGAAAAATAATAATAAATATAAAATAAATAAAAGAAAAGAGCATAGAATAATAAATGCATGATAATCAATAATAACAATAAAATTATTTAAAGGTACAGAGTTAAAAAAGGCTAAAAAGTTTTCAAAAAACAAAACAAAATATATATATATTATAAAAAGTTAAACAAATCAAAATCCACATTCAGACCTAGGGGTGTAAGGGTTTGTAAGTTATATACCCATTCCATCTCTGCTCTACCAAGAATATTTTTTATGTTACCACCTCTCCAAGGCACTTGACATTTCTGAATTCCTAAGCATTTGAGAAATTTAGGATCTTGGTTGTGGTTAATAAAGTGCTTAGATACAGAGTGGTTTAGGTACCCATTTCTAATGTTCCTACAATGTTCAGCTAGTCTTATCTTAAGACACCTAGTGGTCATACCCACATATTGGAGGCCGCAAGGGCATTCCAATAGGTAGATAACATTGGTAGTATTACAACCGATAAAGTCTCTTATAGTGTAACTTTTATTTGTTTGGTTGGACTTAAAATTAGTAGTTTTTGATTTAGTTGTTGGATCAGTATTTTTACATACGGTGCAACGTTTACACTTGTAAAAGCCTTTTGCACCATCTAAAAACGTATGATGAGTATTTTTAGTTGCTTTGGTATAATTGTTAGTTAAAATGGATCTAAAATTCGGTGCCCCTCTAAAAACAATTTTTGGCTGTACAGGTAAAATTTCTTTAAGCAAATCGTCTTGTCTTAAGAGATGCCAATGTTTTTTAATTGTTTTTTTAATAAAACCACTTTTATTATTATAATTAAAAATTATAGGAAGAGTGGGAGTTTCTAAAGTATTCTTATTCTTGTATGTTAAAAGGCTTTCTCTAGGTTTATTTCTGACCGTGTCGATGGTACTATCAAGAAGAGTACAGGAATAATTCTTTTCGATAAATTGTTGTTTTAAAAGCAGTGATTGTTCATTAAAATCATTTGTTTGAGAGCAATTGCGACGTATTCTTAAAAATTGGCTTTTTGGAGCACTTTCAAGCCATGGTTTATAGTGGCAACTAGTTTGATCAATTGCAGTGTTGGTACATACTTTCTTAAAAAATGTTTTCGTATGTATTTTGCCATCTTGAATAAAAATATTTAAGTCTAAAAAATTTATTGAATTAGTACTATATTCACAAGTGAGGGTAATGCCTCTATTATTAGAGTTAAGGTATGATATAAAGGAATTTAGACATTCTTCTGGGCCCTTCCATATAAAAAACAAATCGTCAATGTATCTAAAATAGGAGACTAGATTATGCTCCCAGGCATGCCGTCCCCAAATGGCGGATGTCTCCCAATCCGCCATAAAGAGGTTGGCATAGCTGGGAGCAAACCTAGTCCCCATAGCAGTCCCTCTCTTCTGGAGATAAAAAGAGTCATAAAACCAGAAATAGTTATTGTTTAAAATAATACTAATACCATCTACAATAAAATCAATCTGGGCAGTAGGAATGTTATTTTCATTGGATAGAATGGTTCTGACTGCATTGAATCCAAGTTGGTGTGGGATAATAGTATACAGGGATGTGACATCACAGGAAACAAGTATAAAGTCTGACTTCCATTCAAATCCATTTAAAAATCTCAGTAATGACATAGAGTCCTTTAAATAGGACCTCATTCGTTTAACTGACGGTTGAAGTAGGATGTCAATATACTGAGATAAGTTGCACAAAGGGGAGTTTATCCCAGATACTATCGGTCTCCCTGGGGGATGTTTAGCGTCTTTATGAATTTTGGGTAGAAAATAAATAACCGGAATTTTAGGATTCTTAATAAATAAATAATCGAATTCTTTTTTGTTCAAAATATTATCATTTAAACCTTTTTGTAAAAAAGTGATTAGTTTCTGCTGTATATTGGAGGTAGGATCTTTGTTTAATTTCTTGTATACATCAATATCATTTAATTGATTGTAAGCTTCTTTGATGTACATATCAGTAGACTGTATAACGAGACCTCCACCCTTATCGGCCGGTTTGATCACTATATCTTTATCCTCTTGGAGTTGTTTAATAGCTGTTTTTTCTGCGATGTTTAAATTTTGAAGATCGTATTTATTAAATTTGATTTTGTTGAGATCTTTCAGAACAGATTTCTCAAACATCACCAATGGGGCTGATTTAAAATGGTAAGGGTAAAATGTAGATTTTGGTTTAAGATTAGTATTGATAAAAGAAGGTTGATCAGTAGGTGTAGAGGGATAAGGAAGAGAAGGGTTAGTTTCTGAGGTTTGTACTGAAAAAAATCTTTTTAGTGTGGCCTTACGTACGAACTTATTTACATCTAAAAAGGCTTCAAATGGTTTAAAAGAATTAGTAGGTGCATATTTTAATCCTTTACTTAAAACAGAAATCTGTGCTGCACTTAAAACTTTATTAGATAGGTTAAAAATGCCAACATCTGATTCTTTAAGGGTATTTTTTATCTTTCTAGTCTCTCTTTTTTGTTCTCTTCTGCCACTCCGTTTTCCTCTGGGCTTAGAGTTCTTTTTTTTGCTCTTGTGGGATATGGTGTATTGATAAAAGTGCTGGGGTGTGTCTGAATCTCTAAAAAATGGTCATCATTCTCTATTTCAGAATCAATAGACAATAATTGATATCTGTTAGTATGTGTAATAGGGGTATCAGAGTGGTTTTTGTAGAAAGTATTGGAACGCTGTGTTTTGGGTGAATGTGATCGAGTGTCAGGACTGTGAGAATTGTAATAACGATTAGAGGAGTCCTGGTAATTGGATGTTTTGTATGGAATCTTCCGTGGTATGTATGAAGATGGACGGTGATAGGGTAAAGGAGCATAGTGAGAATTAGGGTTTTTGTAGTGAGGTTTGGGTCTATAGGGAGAATGGTGAAAAGATTTGTGAGGAATAGAGGAGTGATTTTTAGTTGTATATGAGGATTCGTGCCGTGCATTGTGTATAGTAGCTCTTTGGTATTGGTGAGACTCTGTCCTTGTATTGGCATGTGAATTGTCAGCCATATATCTTTTGTTCAGATGATATGTTCTAACCTGTCGATTAGCATAATCTTGCTTATCTCTGACATACTTTTTAACTTTAATGTGCTTGGTGTCTGTTTCTATTTTTTCGATTTTACTTTGAATTAAAACTGAATTTTGTTGATACACATTACTTTCTGTGAAGGGCATAAGTTTTTCTCTGAGGTCATTAATTTCTCTATCAAGACTAGATAATTTTTTGCTTTTTTTCTTCATTAACGTATCCATGAGGCCGAATGTACAAGTTTCTAACTTATTGTTCCACTCGTTCATAAATTCAATATCATCTTGGTCTGAGGTAGGTAGTTTCATAAGCCTCAGGCCTCGAGGTGTTATGCGTTCTTCTATATATTTTTTGAATGTAGCAATTTCCCATTTTAATTTAATTTCTGTTGTTAAAGCTTTTTCTGTTTATCAAATTAGAAAAAGCTTTAACAACAGAAATTAAATTAAAATGGGAAATTGCTACATTCAAAAAATATATAGAAGAACGCATAACACCTCGAGGCCTGAGGCTTATGAAACTACCTACCTCAGACCAAGATGATATTGA